CCACCCCCGACCCCGATCCCGATCCCGACCCGATCCCACCCTGACCCCGATCTGACGTCACCCCACCCTGACCCCGATCCGACGGTATCCCATCCCACCCCGACCTCGATCCGACGCCGTCCCATCCTGACCCAGATCCAATGCCATCTCTCCCCAACCTCCCGTTCTATCATTTCCCTCCCTCCTCCTACACCCGATCCCTCCCCGATTCCTCGTCTACTGTTTCCAACCCCGACCCTCCTACCATCTTTCCATCATCTCTTGTACGTCCTCTTGTCCCCATCTCCGTTCCAGCCGGATCCCGTTCTCAACCTGGTCCCACCGCAATCCCGATCCTGATTCCTTCGAGCCTGCTCTCACCTCATCCTCGATCCCGATCCCAACCCGATCTCGCCCCGGCCCCATTCCCGATTTCGACCCGATCCCATTCCCGATCCCGATCCTGATCCCGACCCGATCCCTCCCTGACCCTGATCTGACGTCACCCCACTCTGACCCCGATCCGACAGCATCCCATCCCACCCCGACCTCGATCCGACGTCATCCCATCCTGACCTAGATCCGATGCCATCCCACCCTGCGTGTCTCAAGGTGCTTTATTCCAATCCCTGATCCTGTCCCCCATACCTATTCCGATCCCGATCCCGACTCCTCCTTGTCTCCGACCCCCATTCTCATCCTGTCTCCGGTTTGTTTTGATCACAGTCCTAATCCTGACTTCTCCTTTCCTGGGCCTGAGGGATTGTCCACCCCCACTCTTCAACCGAGGCTCTCAATAGAACCAGAAGCGAACGGAAAGGACAGAGGATAGAATATAGGGCAGGTCTGATTTTGACCAGCCATAAGAATGGCGTCCCCGCTCCAAAACACGGCCACACTTAGTCAAGGTATTGGGGAAAAATGGAGCAATGTCATCGACAATGAAGCACTCAAATGCCTGATAGAGAAAACCAAAGTGCAAGGGGAACAAATCACAGAAATCCAAAAGGTGGAAGGCAAAGAAGAAGAGATTATTATTTGGGAGTATCCAAAAGAAAAGGTGGCAGAATTGGATGACTTACACGAAAGGCATGGCGTGGTCTTCAATTTTGCACGGAATGGAGCAAACCTTCAATCACCCGAGAAAAGGAAATGGATCATAGAAGTTATCAAGAAAGAACAGAAACTCAAGCAATCGGGCGAGACGTTCACATTGCAGATTCTGGGTCGGAACAACATCATGGCACTGTTTATACGAGAGGAACATGCAAAAACGGCGGCAAAGTTACAGTCCAGGAACTGCCACGGCTCTGTGTGCACGATCAACAAATGGAAAAAATTGTCTTCTTAGAGACAGAACCAGGTATTCGCAGTCTCGTACAATCAGACATTGTTAAAAGAAAACTTATGGGTGCAATTTGACAATGCGCAACCGGGTCTGCACGGTTTGCTGGTGGACCGATTGGAAAGGCAATACCCAACGAATAGGATACTAAAATGGGTACTCCCTACACCAGATTTTCTGGCTCCGCACTGCGGATCCATGACGGCAGTGCTTGAGGTGAAGACGGACAACCCTCCGGTCTTCCCACACACCTGGAAATTTCGGATTGAAAGCAGATTGGTAGAAGTCAAAGTGTCGACCAAATCATCCCCGATCTGCTTTCGCTGCAGAGAAAGGGGACACATGGGAACAGACCCGAACTGCCCCAAATACCCGAATCAACCGAAGGAACGAAAACTCCTCCCTAACATGTTAGTAGAGGTGGAGGATGCCCCGGGAATTTGGTTCATTCCGGACAGCAACTACAACGGGTGGGTGTTTGACGACAACTTGGAGGATCCGGACTGGGTCTGGCATTATGCCGACCAGGAATCGGTAGTCAAAAAACTCAACGTCTTCCCCCGGCTGACAGCAGATGGCAGAAAAGAGCCACAGGGAAAGTATCGGGCAACCCGTCGAAAATCACCACTGACCCACTGATCGATTCACGGGTTATCAAGGAAGAGAAAGACAGAGAAGACTTGCTATGGGACCCGGAAGCAGTAAGAGAACAAGCAATACTGGAATTCAGCAAGAACTCGACGAGTTTCAGAAGCATGCTGACAAAGATGGAACAAACAACAGTTCAAACCAGAACAAAGGCTCAAGCAGAGAACAAAAGGACGATGGAAAATGGAAAGACACAAGGGATCCAGGAAGGGGACCCAAAGAGGCGGAAGACAGTGGATGCGGAAGGGAAAGAGGAGGTGGTAATTCCTCCTGCAGACAAGGAAGGAGAGAAATTGAGAACAGATTCGAGAGGAACAGGGTCCGAGAAGACAAGTGAGGGGAGCAAAGGTGAAGGGGACAGCACAGCGACGGATAGTGAGGAGGATCTTCACAGGTCTCTGCAGTGGCTCATGGATTATGTGGAGAAGGTGAAGCGGGAGAGGGAACATGCTTTTGATATTCGTGCAGCTTGTCTCAAGCATGCAGAAAGATCTCAGAGAAGTGGTAAGAAGGGGTTGGGGGAATCAAGGAAACCTAATAACCAATTTGACGTCCTCAGGAAGGTTAAGGCGGAAGAATTATCGGAATACACAACATTCAAATATGCTGAAAAAAAGAGAGCAAGGGAACAGGGGGTGAAGGACAAAGATAGAACTGTTCTAGAGTCTAAGGACGACTTCCAAGATCTGCGCCCTAAGAAATGGAGGTCAGGGAAAAATCAGAAGAAGAAGAATCCGGATATGTCTCAGATGGACACTGAGGATGACCCAGGCACACAACCGGAAAAGGAAGCGGCAATGGTAATTGCAGAAACGGACAAGCTGAAAAAACTGAAGGAGGAATACTCAACAGAATTCACAACGATCACACACATAGCCAGGGACCAGGCTCCTCTGGTGATGGGCTGCAAGGTACATGGAAAAATTCGAGGAATGGCAGATTGCAACAGATGTGTCGTTCCAGATCCCGTGTTTTGAGGAAGGGCAAAACGTGGCTGACATACTTTGCGAAAAGATAACCACGGAGTACCCATTGGGGGCGTACGACTCCATGCCATGCAACTCCGATCAGGAGGACGCACATCCCCAACCAGAGCACGAGGGTTCAGCTTCGCAGCACTCAGAACAAGGAAGACATTCACCTCAAGCCTTCTCACCATTGATCGTCAAGTTGTCGAACACGGCAAAATTGAGATCAGGGATGAAATGGAGACCCTGGAGGACGGTCACAGTAGTGCCATATAGTGTCTTAGCGGGCTCGAGTCTGCCGGCAGAGCTGGCGGCAGTCTCGTTGTCTCTACTGGTTGCTACAGGAATGTTGGAGGGTGATGGAGATCTGGATGCGAGAGCATACCCGATGGACCGGGACAGGTTTACAGGAGTGACGAATCTGACGACGAGGTGCTGGAATGACATTCGGATGACGAGAAGGAAGAAGAGGACCAGGTGGGTGGGATAGTCTCAAACAATGAGGACGGCGAAGACCTGTTTGAGATATCCCGGCAGGATATGGATAGGACAACAAGCTTAGGACAGTCCACGGCAGGTTCCCAAGAAGGGGAGGGGCCGTTGGATATGGACACGGGGGGGAGTGCGCCTTTGTAGGTTGTTCCTTGGGACGATGCTAACCTGATCTAGCCCGGTAGTACCTGGAGGATGGAGCTGCGAATCCCCCTCGGCAGCGGCCATCCGCGGACAAGTCCGCGGCCGCGCGACTTTGCGGTCGCATGGCGGCCAGTGGGGAGGGGGGTTTGGGATTTGGGACGTGCCATGGGGCGGCGCAACCCCAGCCCCACCCCCTCAAAAAAAAAAAAAAAAAAAAAAAAAAAAA